ACCACGTGGGCCAATGAGAGGCTTACATGTGTAGATACATGTCAGCACTTGGGGCTATAAATACCCCCCAACCACCTCCGAAGAAGGTAATTAATCTCTACGCTTCTCTTTCTGCAATTACTCCTTGAGAGCATCTCTCTCTAGAACACTGAGTATTGCTGACTTGAGCGTCGGAGTGTTCTCCCCGAGGAAACAACCTCGGGATTTTCAGGTGTTGAAGCAGCTGAGGACTTCAACAGTGTTGGACTGCGAAGCTGCCCAAACATTTGGCGCCGTCTGTGGGAATTCGAACAAAAAGTTGTGTGACTTAACAGGCTGCAAGACAAAATGGTCCGTACCTTTACAGGAGGTCGCCCTCCAAGAAATGAAATGGACGAACAGGAGGACACTCACGTATCTGAGCCCGGCCCAAATGACTTTAGACCAATGCCGAGAAATCTTTTTGTAGGGGGAGCCGAACAGGATCACCTGAGTGAAACAGATGACGAAAGAACACCAACTGGGTATGCAACCCAGCTTGAACAGTTCCAAGTTCCTGCAGGAACAAGACAAAGACCTTCCAGACCGTACAATTCACAGCATGAACGACCTGAAAGGTCAACAGAACCTGCTCAGACAACCGAGCTCGAAGAGAGAACCAGAGTTCTCGAAATGGCAATGGGAAAAATCCTTGCCCGTCTGATTCCTGATGACCCCCTGATTCCTTTGCTGAACAGGGATGCACAACCAGCTGCGGTTGTTGCAACTAGAAACTCCCCCGCCCTAAGCAATATAGTAGTGCCGACCAGGCCAAGGGGAAGTGGGAAGTTGAATAGCGAGCCCAGCTCGTCCAAACATAGTGAAGAATTGATGAGAAAGAACGCAGACCTTGAAAGGCAGCTGCGGGATGTACAGAAATCCATTGACGAGCTGAAAAGCCCCAGGTCGCACCAACAGACCTTGGATTTGGATAGTGCTCCGCTGAACCTGTCCATCACAGCAGAACCCTATCAAGAGGGATTCAAAATTCCCCACCTAGAGACATATGATGGCACGAAAGACCCGGATGAACATCTACACACCTATCAGGCCATCATGAGGATTCAAAACTCCAATGATGCCATGATGTGCAAAGTGTTCCCGGCGACACTGAAATCAACGGCCAGAAGATGGTATCACAAGCTCCCCAGACATCCAATAGATTCATTTTCCCAGCTCGCCAAGCTATTTTCTAACAAATTTGCGAGCCAAAGGGAGATCAAGCGCACAGCAACTGAGCTGATGCAAGTTAATTAGAAGGAAGGGGAGTCTTTGAGGGATTACATGCAGCGGTTCAACAAAGCCACATTGGACATTGATAATGTCTCAGACACGATCTGCCTGTCCGCCCTGTTGCATGGGTTGAAGCGTGGCCGGTTCCTAGACGACCTGCTGGAAAACCCACCGAAGACGTGGAACGAGGTGAATGACAGGTCGGCCAGCTTCATATTGTCGGAGGACTTTCAGTCGTCCAAGCAACGAGCTGACGATAAGCCGAGCAGAGGCCAAGAACAATAACCGAGAAAAGAAGAGAAGAAGAAGCAGAAGGTCGGTGAGCAATGGGGGAAACCAGCTGAGTTCCCAAAATATGCCAGTTACATTCCTTTGACCTTACCTAGGTCTCAAATTCTGGCACAAATTCAGCACTGGGTTAGGAGACCTCCACCCCCACTACATGATTCCCCGAGGGCAGATAAGAGCAAGCATTGTGACTACCACCGTGTATATGGTCACAATACAGAGGACTGTCAACACTTAAAGGACGAGCTGGAGTTCTTAGCTCGCACTGGGAAATTAGAGGGATATGTTCAGAAGCATCATACCCATCAACCGACTCAAACTCACTTCGTGCAGGGGTATGACCGACCTTAGGGGCAAAGGTACCAGCTCGGCAACAGACAAGGCATGTATCAAGATAACCAATATCCTTCGGAGCAAGGCAGAACATACAGGGGCCGCCAATTCAATAGGCGAGGCCAAGGTCAGGGACCCGCCCCCCAAAACCAAAAAGACAGGAGAGGAATTGGGTGCAGTGCGATACCCCCGCCGTCTGGCACAATCAACATGATCTCTGGCGGTATGCACTCAGGGGGCCAAAGTGCCCGGGCACGGAAGGCATATGCCCGGCAGGTGATGACGGTTAACAAAAACAAGCCTTTAAAGCGACCATTCGAGGAGGCGGAGTGGGAGAACACACCCATTACATTTAGCCTGACAGATTACAAACGAGCAGACGGAGAGCCGGACGTCATGATGCCACATGCAGATCCTTTCGTGGCAACGGTTCATATAGGCAACCATAACGTCAATAAGGTCTTCATCCATACGGGTAGCTCGCCAGATATCCTGTACTGGAGTTGCTTCCAGAAAATGCAGCTAAATCCGAGCTCGCTGCAAAAGCACGAGGGGCCTATATATGGGTTTGACAATCAGCCCGTGCCGGTTGAAGGAATAATTACCCTTCCCATCTATGTGGGCTCGGAACCAAGGTTCAGGATGGCTTCTGTCACTTTCCTGGTCGTCAAGATGGAGTCAGCTTTCAACGCTATACTGGGAAGAGCCACTCTTTGCGAGCTGAAGGCTGTCATATCACAACCTCATCTTTGCATGAAATTCCCAACTCCTCAAGGGGTAGGAGTGCTTAATGGAAATCAAAAGATGGCCAGAGCATGTTATCAAGATACATTTAAGAAGGTTGAGCTCGCTGCAGCCCCGAGAGGCTCTGAAAATAGTAGGCCGACTCAGCCCGGCCAGCAGACAATGAGCATATCGGACATTGAGCATAGACCCAAGGGAGTCGAGCAGAAAGCAGAGCCGGTAGAGCCAGTAGAAACCGTTCTTTTAAACCCTGATGTGCCGGAAAGAACAGTCAAGATCGGCACCAAGCTCACAAAAGAAGAGCGAGCAGAGCTTTTGGAGTTTTTGAGGGTCAATCAAGATGTGTTCGCGTGGGCTACTGATGAAATGCCTGGCATCCCAGCGGAACTGACAGTCCACAAACTCAGCACGGACCCCACCAGAAGACCGGTGGTGCAGAAACGTCGCCTCTTTGGCCCAGAGAAACAAGCTGCCATAGACGAGGAGGTACAGAAGCTGCTACAAGCAGGCTTCATCAGGAGAGTGGAGTACTCTGAGTGGGTATCTAACCTCGTGCTTGTCAAAAAGCCGAATGGCAAGTGGAGGATGTGTATTGACTTCACCAACCTCAATGATGCATGTCCAAAAGACCCTCACCCCTTGCAAAATGTGGAGAAATTAGTGGAGCGAGCAGCTGGGCATGAACGGATGAGTTTCCTTGACGCCAGCTCGGGCTATCACTAGGTTCAGTTGCTGTTGGACGACCAGGAGAAGACAGCTTTTTATGCTGGTGATGCAATCTACTGCTATGTCATGATGCCGTTCGGCCTCAAAAATGCTGGAGCAACATACCAGAAGCTGGTGCAAATCATCTTTAAGCTCCAGATCGACAGAAACATAGAAGTATATGTGGATGACATGATAGTCACCAGCATACGAGCTGAGGATCACATAGACGACCTGGATGAAACTTTTCAAAACCTGCGCCGAGCCCAAATGAAGCTGAACCCTTTGAAATGCACGTTTGCTGTGGAATCAGGGAAATTCCTAGGATACGTGGTATCCAAGAAAGGAATTGAAGTAAATCCAGAGAAGGTCCAAGCCGTTCAGCAGATGGAACCACCCAAGACCGTAAAAGATGTACAGCGTCTGATAGGTCGGGTGGCTGCGTTGCACAGGTTTATAGCCAGATCGGCAGAAAGGTGCCTTCTGTTCTTCAAAGCTCTGCGGGAGCCTAAGAACTTCCATTGGACTGTTGAATGTCAACATGCGTTTGACGAGCTCAAACAATATTTAGCATCCGCACCCCTACTGTCCAAGCCTGTCGATGGGGAATGTTTGTATTTTTATCTGGGGGTCACTGAAGAAGCAGTGAGTTCAGTGCTACTGAGGGAAGAGAATAAGAGTCAAAGGCCTATCTGCTATGTGAGCAAGGTGTTACAAGGCGCCGAGCAGAACTACCCACTAGCGGAAAAGTCTGCTTTTGCTGTAGTCTGTACAGCTCGTAAGCTGTGGGCTTATTTTCAATCTCATCAGATTGTCGTTTATACGGATTTCCCGCTAAGGAAAATATTGCAGAAGCCAGAACTTTCTGGTCGGCTCATCGGATGGAGTGTCGAGCTGAGTGAGTATGACCTCAAATTTCAGCCGCGCACAACCATAAAAGGCAAAGCTGTGGCAGACTTCTTGGTTGAATGTGCCCCGGCGGTTGTGAAAGAAAAGGCACCTGAACACCCAGTTTGGGTTTTGTATATAGATGGGGCTGCCAATGTCTAAGGATCGGGTGCTGGAGCTGTGTTATTGGGCCCTGATGGCTTTAAGTCTGAACACGCACTGAGGTTTAGGTTTCAGACGACCAATAACGCTGCAGAATATGAAGCCCTCATCTACGGACTGAAGTTGGCGTCCGAGCTGAAAGTACAAAACATTCAGGTCTTCAGCGACTCTCAGCTCGTTGTAGGCCAAGTAAATGGTAGTTGTGACATCAGGGATCCGCAGCTCGGTCGTTATGCCTCTGTGGTCAACAGATTGAAATCGGCATTTGTTTTCTTCCAAATTGATAAAATACCAAGAGCGGATAACCACCGAGCTGACGAGCTGTCAAAGCTGGCTTCCTCGCAAGACCTTAACCCTCAGAGATCGACAATTGTCGAGATACTTGACGCCCCGAGCTACACCGATTCCACAGTCGAATGTCAGCTGCTGAGCACAGACCCTTCTGTGCCAAGCTGGACCACCCCGCTCATAAATTATCTGCAGGATGGTGAGCTACCTGAAGACCAGGCCGCTGCAAAATTGGTTAAACGTAGGGCGGCACATTTCACTTTGTTAAATAACCAGCTCTATAAACGAGCAGCCTCAATGCCCCTACTACGCTGCCTTACTCCTTATGAAGCCGAATACGCCGTAAGGGAAGTTCACGAAGGAGTATGTGGCACACACATAGGCGGTAGGACTCTAGCTCGGAAGCTCCTGAGGCATGGATATTACTGGCCAACCATGGTTGAGGACGCACAGAGTTATGTCAAAAAGTGCCCGACCTGCCAGTTCAACGCTGATGATATTCACATGCCAGGTATCTGAGCTCGTCCTAAAGTTCATGCAAACTTCGTGTTTGACTATATGCTAAGCATAAGTACCTTTGTGAAAACAGGGGAAATGCTATCATCTCTTACATCTCTCTGGCCCTTTGCTCAATGGGGTGTCGACCTGCTCGGCCCTTTCATTAAAGGCAAAGGGGGCTGCACCTTCCTGGTCGTTGCAGTGGATTACTTCACTAAATGGATAGAAGCTAAACCATTGTCCACGACAACGGAAAGGAAAATAGAAGAATTCTTGTTCAATTCAATATTGTGCAGGTTCGGCATACCTAAGCGGATTATCGCCGATAATGGGCCACAGTTCCGAGCAGCAGCACTGAGATCGTTCTGCAAAGACTATGGCATTGAGCTCTCCTTGACATCGGTGTACACCCCGCAGTCAAACGGACAGGCCGAGTCGGCTAATAAGATCGTCTTGCGGGGCCTCAGGACACGTGTTATATCCGCACATTCTAACTGGGTTGACGAGCTCAATAAAGTACTTTGGTCATGTCGCACGACACCCAGCTCGGCCACGGGAGAAACCCCGTTCAGCCTGGCATACGGAGCTGAGGCCGTCATCCCTGTTGAGGTCGGTCTACCATCTGCTAGGTCAGATTGTCATGACGATCAGATTAATAGGCAACTCTTAAGAGAGAACCTAGACCTAGTGGAGGAAGCCAGGGAAATGGCTCGAATTAGAAACATGACACACCAAGGTAGTGTAGCAAGATTCTATAATAAAAGAGTCCGAGCTCGTCAGTTTCAGGTCGGCGATCTAGTATTACGTAAGGCTGGGTTAACTAACACATATTCCCACATGGGCAAGCTTGCCCCTAATTGGGAAGGTCCATACAAGGTTGTTCAAGTTAACCGACCTGGATCTTACATATTGGCAGATCTGAACGGGCGCCAGTTACCGTTCACATGGAATGTTCAGAACCTTAGAAAATTTTACAGTTGATTTGTATTATTGTAGAAAATTTGAATAATGTATGAACAGTTACTGGAAATAGTACACACAGTTTTCCAAAATTCGTTTCAATTATATTCTTTGCAAATTCATTACATGAGGTGTCCATGAGACTACAAAATGTGTCGCTAACAAGGAAATATTGAAAATGCAAAGGTATAAGAAACAGAAAAAGCCTAAGTCTAATCGTCCGTTAAATCCACTGGAGCGGATGCGTTAGCACGAGCTGGGATGGAGATGGCAGGAGGGGCGGGCTGAGGAGCAGGAGGAGTACTTGAGGGTTCAGCTTCTTCTACAGGAGCATCACCAGCCCAGGTGTCGAACCTCGGCAGATTCTCATACTCCTCTCCTTCTTCAAGGACAGACGGTGGCCATGTTGGCAACCCCTCCTCGTTTAGCTCCCAGCGGAGCCTCACCGTCGTGTCAGAAGGTTCAACAAGGCTCTTCCCTTCTGTGTCGAACTCTTCACCGTCAAAAAATGCGAGCTCGTTGATTGGGAAGTCCGGCCGGTGCTTCAACACCTTACCACGAACGTCATTGTAGATCTCAGTCGTGGTGTTCATGGATGCCACAGCTACGGCGTCCTGGAACATGTCAGCACCAACCAGCCATTCCGCGCCTTGAGCTCGCGCGATGCTAATACAGCGCTGGTGTTGAGCCTTGGCCTGCCTCAAGGATTCCTCTGCGCGAGCAAGATCCTGGTCGGCCACAGCAACCCGCCTTCTTAGGACGTTGAGGTCGTTCAGCGCGCCATCTCTCTCAGCTTCCACTTTCTTCCTGAGATCCACTGCGCGAACGACCTCATCCATAGCCGCTTGAATCCCACTCTCCTTCTCAGCTTTCACCTTGTCCAGCTCTTTCTGCAGCTGGATGACCTTGTTGGCCAGCTCGTCAGCCCGGCTTTCGGCTGATGCAGCCCTGTTGGCCATCTCTGAGCTTTGCAAGCGGTTCACCTCGTCCTCCAAGCTCGCCTTGTCCGAGGACAGCCGCTTGCAACTGTCAGCCAGCTCCCTATTCTGTATTCGAGTTGCCTGCTCGCTCTCGAACAGAGCTACAGAATAGCTTAGCGCTTGCAGCATGTCTACAATCAGTTTTTACTCTAAACTTACAGCAAAAAATGTTTGTAAAGCACAATACTCACATCCATCATTTTCAGCATTGCAGCGTGAGTCCCGTGCTGTTGAATGTAGCCTTTAGCGCGGTGACGGTCCACAGGCGGGACGAAATTCTGCATACCCTGGACCACAGCGAGCTGACAGTCGGGTTTAGTGTAACTAAAACCCTCAGGGTATGCGATCCTAGGCCCACTGCTAGCTATTGGTGGTGGAAGCGCCTCAGCCGCGCTACGCGGCTGGGCCGCGCTACGCGGCTGGACCACGAGCGCCTCAGGTGAACGCACCATACCAGGTTGTCTCCCGGAATCCAACCTGCGTCGAATTAATGGTACGTCATCTTCAGCATCGGACTCGTCGCGAGCTCGCCTCCGTACATCAGCAGGTGCGGGTTCTACCCTGCGCTCAGTCTGTGGCCGCGAGACCGAGCTGGATCCTTGTTCCCTCTGCGATGAACTGCGAGGTGCTGCAGGCGGTAGCTCGTCAAAGCGCGTTTGCCTCCTCGCGCTAGACGCAGTCCCCCTGCCACGAGAACGCTGAGCTCGCTCCCGTTGTCTCTCAAGCATGCTACTCATCTCTCCTGCACAAACACATGCAATAAGACTCAGCTCGTGAAAAAAGTAACTGACAATAGAGTTATACCTTCACTAAACAGGTTTGTGATATCCACAAACCCATGCAAAGCGAGCACCTCAGGGGTAACCAGGGCTTCCAAATCAACTAACCCCCCTCCTTTCACATAATTAGTGATCCTATCCCTAATCTCCAGGTCGCCCGGGGTTAGTGTGGGGTAGTTCATGTACGCATGCCCTGGACGCCACTCAGATAGACGAGCTGCCAGATCGGTGCTAACCCTCTCTGCTCGCGTATCCCGGACAAAGATAAACTGTCTCTTCCAACGAGACACCTTATTCCTTATGTTCTTGAAGACGGCCATTTTCTCTCGCCCAGAAATGTAGTACCACCTCGTCTGTGTAGTGCTCAGCCGGCACAAAAATAGCGACCTGAAAACAATGGCCTTCGCAGGTATCTCCAGCCGTGCACACAGCAGCATAAACCCTACGATAAATTTTATACTATTGGGAGTCAACTGTGTGAGCGCTAGCTCGTACTCTGACAGAATGTCAAAAATCAACCCGGATAAGGGAAACCTCAGGCCGGCGTCGAAATGGTCCACATATACAGGTATCCACCCTGTTGCTGACACACTGCAGGCCCTTTCATTTTTGGTCCCTGTTCGTAACAAAACTGTCCTAGGAACGTGGTATTGTCTCACCACTTCCTCCAGTCTCTTGTACCCTTTAACGGAGGTAGGGCAATCTGCTACCTCATGATGCAGGTTCGCCCTAAACCGAAATCCGGCCGTCAGTGTGTTCGGTGCCTTGCGGAGGTTGCTCAACCTACCACCTATGGTTTTATTTTCCCAACCTGCAACCGGAGGCACACTTACGGCCGCTTCCATACTTTCCGGCGAAGGGCTACTTGCACTGGCAGTGTTTTCTGATGACGACCCTTCAGATGACGGAGAGGGGTTAGCACCGGAACCCTCAGGCGCGCCTGAACTGGCACTGCTCTCCGGCGTACGGGTTTCCGGCACGTCTTGCAGTTCCGGTGGTACAATCATGGTAATGGGTTCTATGGCTATCACGTTCTCTTCCCCTTCCATACCCTGGTTACCCCGGAGTCCTCCTACTCCACTAACAAATTCCATTTGTTATTACCTGAAAAATTGGTACTGAAACTCCTTGAGAAAATCGCCTGAAAACTGTGAAGGTCCTTTGTTGCAGAAGAATACAGAGAATATGGAATTGGAAAATGGAAACAAAGGTACCAGAGAGGTTACGTGACCGTGCCTAGCACTACCGTACGCACCTCTCTGCCAACAAGTCAAAACGTTACGCGTGGCAAGCACTTATTGCTAGGCGTGTAACGTCCGCCGGCTTTAGCTGTCACGTCTCTTCAAACACTGAGCCAGCATTTATTAGGGGAGGATTGAGAATACTAACCGTTCTGAGCCAAATCTCTTTGGAGATTTCACAGGGTTAAAATTTAAAAAATGGCAAGGACCAGCTCGTAACACAATTTCCTCAAAGATCTGTCCTAAGTCAAAATTTGAAAAGTTCAAGAAATCAGCTCGTAGCTGATTCATGATCCTTCCAGATATTTCGACCAGCTCGTAACTAATTCAGGATCTCTCCAGAGATTTCGACCAGCTCGTAACAAAATTTCCTTGAAGATCTGTCCTAGTTCAAAATTTGAACAGTTTGAGAAACCTGCTCGTAACTGACCCATGATCTATCCAGAGACTTCAAACTTGATCAGATCGTTACAAATCAGATCGTAACAAATCAGATCAGCTCTGCCCCTACATATTTATATCACGGTGATGACTAAGATCACCCATATCAACCCGTATGGGCCAGCTTCTTCAGCTCGTTCACTATACGCTAGCTCACTCAGACGAGATCGTCCATCCGCATTTGCTCAGTTCGCTAATCAGGATGAGCTCGCCTTGCCTGAACACCCGCTTGCTCGCGCTTGCTCCGTAGGTGGTTTCACGCTGCCAAGATCGGCCGTCCACGAGGCCGGTCATGAACACAAAACCCCAATGAAGAATGATGAACTCACAAAGCTCTACACAAAGGATGACGGGCTGAGACCTTACATGAGTGGACTCCTACGCAGAATTACAAGCTAAGACCCTACATGGGTAAACTCTTATGAAGAATTATGAGTTGAAATCCAACCTGAGCTTCTTGGTTTTCCAGGTCGTCACTCATTAGTTTCCTGGTTCCAGGTCGTCACTCCTGAGTTTACTGGTTCCAGGTCGTCACTCCTGAGTTTACTGGTTCCAGGTCGTCACTACTGAGCTTCCTGGTTCCTGGTCGTCACTAATGAGCTTCCTGCTTCCAGGTCGTCACTACCGAGCTTCCTGGTTTAGTGACCCCGAGTCACATATTTTACTTCGGCTCAGGCCATAGTGACCCAGTGTCACATGCTTCACTTCGGCTCCGGCCATAGTGACCCTGAGTCACCTATTTCACTTCGGCTACGGCTATAACACATGACTCTGTGTCATGCATTTTTACCTCAGCTATGGCCCAAAACACATGCATCGAGCTCGCCTGGTTTTAACACCAGCTCCCCTACGCCTGCTCGATAGGAAGTCGGCATACACATGCACAACAGACTTGGTCGCGATGGCTTCAGGCCGCCTAGATCGGTCGTGCGTGAGGGCGAACATGAACATAAAACATCACTCCTCATCCTCAGGGTCAAACACCGTGCTAACAAGACTCCCAACCCAGTTCGTCAACCGAACACCGAGGGGGGAGTAATGTTGGGATTAGGCCCAACGCCCTCTTAGGGCCACATGCAGTAAGCCCAACTACGTACCCACAGGCCCAAGAGGAGGAGACATACCCACATGGGCAGCACCACGTGGGCCAATGAGAGGCTTACATGTGTAGATACATGTCAGCACTTGGGGCTATAAATACCCCCCAACCACCTCCGAAGAAGGTAATTAATCTCTACGCTTCTCTCTCTGCAATTACTCCTTGAGAGCATCTCTCTCTAAAACACTGAGTATTGCTGACTTGAGCGTCAGAGTGTTCTCCCCGAGGAAACAACCTTGGGATTTTTCAGGTGTAGAAGCAGCTGAGGACTTCAACAGTGTTGGACTGCGAAGCTGCCCAAACAATTTGCATCCACGTGATTTGTCTTGATTTGGTGAAATTCGAATGTGTGTATTTGAGGTGTTTTTGTTGGATTGTGATTTAGTTTTTCTTTTGTTGTGTTTCAATGGTGTCAGAGGAGTGATCTAGGTTTGAGAAAAACTCAGATTTGGGTTTGATTTGGAGAGGAAGAAGAAGGAACAAGA